CCACCAGGGAGGCGGCCACGCAAGGGCGGCGCAGCAGGCGGGGGGGGGGGGTACTCATAGTCGTGCATGCCGTAGTCGTTTGACCATTGACCTCGCATCCCTACAAAGCCGGGACGGAGCACGCCGGGTTCTCACCGGACCAGGCTCTCACATCACCAAGCGCGAAGCGCCGTGAGGTATTTGGCGAGTCGCATGAAGGGTGCGCTGCATCCTGCTAAGGGTGTTCGGCATCTTGTGCTTACTTCCTTGCGTACGGATGACAGCTACGTATGACTTAATTTATTTTCTGGTGCTTTCACTTCCAGAGACAGTTGTAAGCACTGTGTAACTGCCTCGAGGAAGTTTGACCATTTTAACACAACGTGGTGCGATCATCCCCCGTTGCGCGGAGAGAGGTTTCTCGACCCCGCACAACATGATCTACTCGACCACCATTATCGTTACCGCCAAAAAAAAAAAACGAGGTAAAAAAAAAAACCGGTAACCTGGTTGCCGAGTTCACGAAGTGAATTGGCTTGTTTTACAACGTCGTTGCCAAGCGACGAAAACCCAATCCCGATGGCAAACACTGGTCCAGGGGGGGGGATAGGGGATGCGAACTCAAAAGTGCTTCTATCAATGTTAACCGGAAGCTGTTTCCATCCGTACTCACCGGAAATAATGTTGGCTCCGTCGGTGCGGCAAGCAAGGATGAACTGAAAGCCGGGGGCGGCGCCTCGACACAACAACAATCTTGTTACGGCATGACGATCGGGGTACTGCACTAAGGGTTGCGGATTTGGGCAATGTACTTATTCAGCGTAGTCGCCAACCTTCTCCCGCAAGCACTGCCACCGAAAGAAGCACCAACAAAAACGGCGACGATAACAATAACAAGCACAAGAAGAACAACTAAATAGAACAACGAAAACAACATACAACTATAACACCATCATCAGCAACAACAAGAACAAGAACAAGAACAACAAAAACAACATAAAACAGTAACACCAGCATCAGCAACAAGAACAAGAACAACAACAACAACAACAACAACAACAACAGCAACAACTTTAACTCACCTCAAGAGCGACGCCTCCGCCGTCCGCACCATCGGAAACCACCCAATCCTCCTGCCGATCGCCCCGCCCACCTCCGCCAGCCGCGGCCACCAGCTGCCCCCGCCGCTGTCACCCTCCCCCCCCCCCTCCTCCGACGACTCTTCCCACTCGAACCTACCGCCGGCTGCCGCCGCCGTCGCCGCCGCCGCCGAGTCGCCGCCGCCTACCACCTGAAACCGTCGTCCATCGATCATCGTGGTGGTGGAAGCGAAAGCAGGGAGGGGGGCTCCGCGGCTGCTGTTGATGGAGGCGGGGGCAGTGGTGGTGCTGCTGATGGCGGTGATGCTGCTGCCCCGCCTGCGGTAGTCCGCGAGGGCGATGGCGAGGTCGTTCCAGAGGACGACGCCAACTAGGACCTTGTCGCTCCTGAGAAAATAAAAAAATAAAATATGAGACCATGCATAGCGGCAAGAGAGAAAGGAACGGGGCAGAGACAACAGACGCGCGCGCGTTGCGGGGAAAAAAAAAGACGAAGAAAGAGCGCCGAGAAATACAGAAAGGGAAGGGAAGGAAAAGGGGCACAAAAACAGACCCGCACATATGTGTTGGGGAAATAAAGTATTGCTTGCACTCAACCACATCACGACGGGGTGCAGCAACCCCGAGAAGCGCAGCATAGCGCCAAGAATGAAAGGATGGAAGAAATGGCAGAAGAACAAACGCGCACGCACTTTGTTCGGGAAACATATGTTGTTGCCTTCAACCGCAATACGAAAAACAAAAAGGAAGCAAACGCGCACGCTCGGTTGGGGCGAAGAAAATTATCCATGATTACAGGCTCTCTGAAGCCCTTGAGATGGTGAAGAAGGTAAGAATGAACACGACACCAACGTGCGAGAGAATGGGTCGGCAAGAGGCTGTTCCCTCCAAATCAATAGAAAAAGAAGCAGTCATAGTCTCGCGAAAGCGCACGGCTTGCAACATCATCATACCACCATGGTGGCGTGGGTTGTGCTGTTGACAAAGCGCTGCTGCCGTCTCGGGCGCGTAAACCTCATACCGTAGGTTGCATAAGATATCACACCCCTTGGCCCGATTTTCGAAGCTCGATTACCCGGCAGGAAAAGCAGTGACGGTGCCGAAAAGTGGCGGCGTTGGAACAGTCTCGTGTCGAGAGCTTTCCAAAAATGTATCCTTTGATCCCAGCATCCTCTTCGTCGTGGAGTAATGAAGCTTTGAAAATCGTTCCCGGGGGTGTGGTATCTTACGTCATGCAACATACGGTACATATATCGCCAAGAACCTCCCTCCCTCCCTTCCTCTCCCATGGAATGCTAAATGTTGCACCATGCGCGCCCCGCCCAAGACACAGGAGGATGGATCCCCAAGGGTTTTCCTCCCTCCCTCCTTCCCTCTCACATGGACTCCCCGACGGGTTTGAATTGTCCGGGTAGGTATCGCAAGGCCTCCTCGGAAGAGTCCCTCCAGGTGCATTCCAGAGACGGGCAGGGAATTTCCTCCGCCTTGATCATCAAGTCCTAAGCAGGGCGTTTTTGGTCGTCGGGGGGCACCACAACAGGAAGAAGGAACCCGGGGGGGGGGGGGGGGGGGGTACTCATAGTCGTGTGCATGCCGTAGTCGTTAGACCATTGACCTCGCATCCCGACAAAGCCGAGACGGAGCACGCCGGGTTCTCACCGGACCAGAAACCCTGGGGGGCGGGGGGGAGACTCATGTTTTTCATGCCTTAGTTGTCAGGCCAGAGATCACCCGAGAAGATGGAGCGAGGAAATGTTTTGGGCATCTCGTGTCGTTCTTCGGGGGACATCTGGACAGGAAAAATGCAATCCAGGGTGGGGGGTGGGATACTCATGTTTTGCACGCCTTAGCGGTTAGACCGTTGACCACGCGTCCTCGAGAGGACGGAGCGGGGAATAATCTTATGGGTGGGTGTGTTTCGTTCTTGTTTTGAGAAGGTATTCTTTATATTTTCAGTCTTGGGGACGCAGTAACTCACACAACAAACAGCTAACGCTGTGAATTCATTAACCAATCCTAGACCTTTACCTGTGAATAACAGTTGCTCAGTTACGATTCTTCTAGAAATGTTCCATTCATTTTCCGCGGGCCACTGACAGCCCTGCATTCCGATTTTTGGGGCCCTCACGAACCACCATTTTCACCCTTTTTTCACTTCAACTTTACTCATCATCTCGATGCTCGCTCTCTCTCTCTCTCTCTCTCTCTCTCTCTCTCTCTCTCTCTCCTATCGTGTACCAGTTTGTCGTTGGCTCTTACAACAACAGCAGCCTGTTTCCCCCTCTCACATGTCCCACAGCAACATATTGTTTATTCCCGTTTTCGTTTCCGCTTTGTTTCATCATTCCCGTTTTCACGCTTTTTCTCGCTCGCTCGAGGAACCTTTTGGCGCTTTCCTCTGCTCCTCATCCACCACACATACGACATCTCTTTTAACTGCGCCTCCATCAGGGCTTTAGGCCAGTCTCTCTTTCTTTCGGCGCTCACACACCAGGAGTCTGCTCCCTGACACGTCGGACTTTCGCATGTTCCAAAATGCACACGTTCACGTTCAACTCTCTCTCTCTCTCTGGGATCTCGCATGTAGGCGTCTTAATGTGGTCCAGGCGAGAGAGAAAGCGGTTGGTTGTTGCTTGCTGAGCACTCCGGGAGGGAGCGGGTGCAAGTCGTTAAGATCCTTCATGTACTGTAGTACTTCTCCGTGCGAAGCAGTTCGAGCGCATTTTTTCACGTCATTGAGGAACTCTGTGAGGTTTCCTTCTCATTGAGTCAGTGAGCCCCTCATCTCCGAACCCGCGGCCGTTCGTTGACATGGTTTCTTGGTGCTTTTTGCATCATGTTTTACGCTCGCGTGTCCAATTTGTGGACTCCGCGCGGGACGCACCCCTTCACACCCCTTCGGTAGTACCGCACGTAAGTAAGCGCAACGAAAAGTACACCAACAAGAGACGGCCATCCAGAAGCAACGAACGCCGATAGCTAGCTTCTTGCGGAACGCTTCTCTCAGCGTGGCAGCGTAAGCCGCCAAACAGCCTTGTAGAGATAAATATTCCTGTCTCACATAAGAAAAAAAAAAAAAAGGCTGCTCACCTCTTCCAAGTGCGGGGTCTTGTTGGTGTCCATCAGGGCGTCGTAGACCCCCTTCGTGAAGCGGTTCGCGATGAAGTACGAGATCATCAGGGCCACGCCCAGCGGCAGGCGGAGGTGGTTCTCCCCCGACAACTCGAAGACGATGACTGCCGTGCTCACGGCTCGCGTCACCCCGGCCGAGAACGCCGCAGACCCGATTAGGGCGAACTCCCAAGGCTGACATAAATACATATATATTTTCAACCGCGAGGTGGGTGTGTAGGGGTCAGGTTAGTTTCGTAGACGAGTAAGAACGACCATTGTACATTGCACCTCCTACCAGATGGGGTGCAGGAAGGGTCGGGGGGGGGGGCGGGGACTCATGAAAACGCATGCCTTCGTCGGTAATCCACGACCACACATCCCTACAATGATGCCAGGAAGGAGCACCACATTGCCAGGAAGGAGCACGTCGGGTTTTACCGGACCGGGCTACAGTAGGACATCACCAAGGACTGGGGTTAGCTTGCTGATTTGGTGAAGTATTTGGCCCGTGAGGTGGCACAGGGGTTGGGGGGGTAGTGTGAATTATGTCGAAGTAACAATACTTGCGGTTGACCATATGGCTGTCAAGCGTGCCATCACAAGGTGGGCGGAGAGAGAGAG